ATGGTTATTATTTAATACCATGTAGTTATTTAATAAATACACAAGGAAAACAAATAATTAATTTATCATTAACAAAACCAATTGATCATGATACTATTGGTTTATAACAAATATCAATACATGGTTATTATGCATATGATCAACAGATGATTATTGAACAAACAAGTCATCCATATCAAACATTAATATCAACAGTTTAGGGTAAACAAAATTCTACATAATAAAAATTCTAATACATCAATAATAACAACGTTAAATGACGATAATCATATTAAATGAATGTATACATAAATAAATTCTTCAACAACAAATATAAATATAATTGATAATAGTCATCAAATATCAATGATATTATCAGATAAATATCGTTCATTTAATCATTATTTACAATTAATACATTTATGTTTAGAAAATTCATTAATATTAAATGATAAGTTTTTTGAAAAATTTCTTTTTATACTGAAAGAAAAAAAATTTTTTTTGCATATTTGAAAAAATTTCTTTTTATAGTTAAAGGGAAGGGTGTGGGTATTAGTCTTTCTCTCATCAACACCCGCATCCCACACCCACACCCCCACACCCCACACTCACACCCACACCCTTTTCCAACCACGTACAGACCAAAATCTTTACACAAATGTTTCACTCTCGCTGTTAACGATTCACTCATTCTTGATGGGGTAACTTTCGGAGCATGAAAGCACGCTTCTTATCCCTTATCTTATGAAATTACCAGTTACACTATTTTGATACTTTTATCTTAATATCGACAATCCCGAAAAGAATATCAATAGAATAGGACATGAACGCAGAAAGCGAATCATGTAAGTTGTAGACAAAATTCTACAAGAAATAATCATTAAATCAATGAGACAGTGTACGATACATACACGTAAATGCACTGGATGCACCTTTAACTAAGAAAAAATCATCAGTTGTCCAGATAGACGAAAGTCTGTGATTAATAGCCATATCATATCTGTCTCGATTCTTTGGAATTAATATTCTAGCCATCGATCTGTTATACTCATGATATTCAAAAAACTCGAAAATTTGCTTAGGAACCATGTTCATAAGTTACTTACCAAGATACAAAGATCAAAATAAAATTTATCGGAGAATTTCACTAGTAATAGTTTCCAACTTGGTTGAATGTTGTATATGCAAAACGCGTCGTCAGTTTGTTGAGGGACTCTTGTGTTACTTATTTTCCTTTTTTGTCTCTTTTTTTTCGTTTTTTTAAAATTACTCCCAATCAAGTGCTTTCTTGAGAAGTACTCTTCATGACAACAGTAAAATACACAATGTGGAGAGCAGACAAACAATGACGGCAAACAAAAAAAAATTTGGTAAAAGGAAATACAGTTCAAATGAACCAGACGCATCGATACTCATTTGCGTATGATATGAAACTGTCGTCATCGTAAAACAACAGATAATGACAGATAATGATAGACTTCCTGCAGTATCAGACGAAGAGATGAAACTTACATTGATATGAAGTTGCAAGAAGTTTTCAGTAAGATAATATGAAAATCAATAATTTTCAGCATAGGGTGTGGGTGTGGTAATACCCACACCCACACCCTACTTAGACAATGCAAATATTGGCTGATCATAAAATCGAAGAAGACAACATGGCTTAGTATTTTCCATTAATGTTATTTTTTTGTATTTCCAATTAATAGATATTATCTATACTTCATGTGTCAATTGTTGAACTAAACGATCGAAACAATCGATTCAGCTGTATGCTTGAAATGAAATTGTTTTTCTTCAAGATCTGTAGCACTCATCGAACTTATCATAAAATACATGGAACAAAAAAATTTGTTCTTATAACTAATCAGCATTGCTATTTTTATAACTGTCAAATTTTCGTAATATTTCGTTAGTGTAACCAAATCCAGTTACAGAATCATTTGATTTAGAGTGTTTCTCGGACGTCATTCAATACAACAGTGCAAAGCAAAGTATAATCTGACTATTAAAAAAATGCTAAGTTTTCCTGTTGCGTTCATGAGTCTGAAAACAAGTGAAATCAGACACTCTTGCAATCCGAATAAGATGGTTCACCAATGTCATTTGGTAGTACATTCTGCCTATTGATCGATTAGTTACCAATAAGAGTCAATAACAGCAGACGATCGAAATATTACAAAAAAGAATCATAAAATATAATATAATGACTCAATGCATACCATTTACTCCACATTCTGTTATAGATTATTTACCTTTGACACCAAATATGTGCTCCTTTTTTTCTTCATCCTCGTGGTTTTGTGTCAATATACGGATAAAACAACGCGCAGAAAGCACAATAAAGCATATTCTCCTCTCTATATAAAACGCACATCGTATGAAACACGAAACATCATACGTGCATAGCAAACGAAAACAACCAAGCAAAATTTTATCCGTCTTTTGAAAAAATGTTTATAACCATTGCTCTAATTTCTATTTTTATTTGTCTTATCGCTCTCTTTTTATGGACAACTAACAGTCGATATGATTATTTCAAACGTCATGGAATTCCAACGCCACCGCATCGTTTCTTTTTTGGTCATTACGAAACAGTATGGTCTACAAAATTATTCTCAAAATTGATACAATCATGGACTCAGCAATATGGTTCAATCTATGGATTGTTCATAGGTACAACACCATTGTATGTTGTTTCAGATGTTGATTTTCTTCAAGAAGTTTATATCAAACAATTTTCATCATTTCATTCACGTGCTTTAGCAAAGATTGTACGTGTAGAAACAGATGGAAAAATTGATCTGTTTCGAGCTGCTGGAGCAAGATGGCGTCGCCAACGATATGTACTCAATCCAACATTTTCATCTGCAAAACTTAAACTAATGTCTCCATTAGCGAATGAATCTATCGAAAGAATGGTGAAAAAGGTATCCGAAATAGCAGATAGTAAAGATAAGGAAATCAATATTTATGAATTATACAAACGAATGACTATGGATGTCATTTGTAAGTAGACAAATTTCATTTACGTATTTTATAGATGTATTGATCTGTTTATGTTTAGGTCGATGTGCATTTGGTATTGATACTGATATGCAAAATGATCCCAATAATCCATATTTACAAAAATCGATTGAAGTATTTAAGAGATTTGATGATGACATCCTTCTGATTCGATTAGGCAATTTAATGCCTATTCTTGCTCGTCCTCTACATGATATTTTATTTTTTATGCCAGTTGTTTGTAGAATACTGGGTAAAACAATGCCCTTCTTGAGTAATTATATTCAGGAACTTCCCGGTTTCTGGTTGATAAATCGTGCGCAAGATGTAGTTGATCTTCGAATTAAATCTTCATCAAATATACAAAAACGTACAGATTTATTACAACTTATGATCGATAATTCGACTACTGATGAAATTATAGTAAGTTAAGTAGATTAGAAAACGTTGGAATATACCATTCATAGAAGTGTAGAGCATAGGAAATTTTTGATGATATTAATTATTATATATCAGAATGTTGGTCACTGTTTTAGGATCATGCTGATGATCGTCTAATGTCAAAAGTATTACGAGCAGATGAAATAACACCGAATATATTTCTTTTTATGGCAGCTGGGTTTGAGACAACATCAACTGCACTTGCTTATTGTACTTATGTATTAGCCACGAAACAAGAAATTCAAGATAAACTTGTTGAAGAAATAAATCAAAATAATTGGGATAAGAATGATGCAGGTGGTATCTATGAGGTAGCAATGAATTTGTCTTATTTGGATATGTTTGTGCGTGAAGTTCTTCGAATGTATCCTGTAACTAGTAGAGCAATGACACGTGAATGTAATGTCACAACAACTGTTTGTGGTCATATTGTTGAAAAAGGTTTGCTTAGTATAAAAATGACAGTACTCTACAATTGCCTTTTGTCTAACATTTTGTTCTAGGAAGTATGATCCAACCTGATATATTCAGTATTCATTATAATGCAGATTTATGGGGTCCTGAAGATCCAAATCTATTTATTCCTGAACGACACGCAGTTAAACGTCATCCTGCTGCTTGGATTCCCTTTGGTCTTGGCCCAAGAAACTGTATTGGAATGAGATTTGCTCTAATGGAACTAAAAATGTGTTTGATAGAATTACTTCAAGAATATCGAATATTGCCCAGTGATAAAATTGAAGAAGGATTCAAGCGACATGAAACAATTGTTATTCAACCCGATGCGATATTTGTCAAACTTGAAAAAGTCTCCCAATGATATAGTTGATTGAGTGATAAATGATTCACAAGTCATGGACACGACATTGTTTGATTCATAATGATGATAAACATAAATTTCTTTTTTTTTAATGCATCTATTTAATTAAATATTAATCTTTATACACGTAAACATATGGTCCCATGAATCATACGTTGTCGATTTTCAAACGTGGTTCAGCATCAAAAGTAAGATGTGTATTCGAACTATGTTGTCAAAAAAATAGGTACTAACCAAGCGAAGCGGGTGTGGGTATAGCACTTCATTCTACTGATGCCCAAACCTACACCCATATCCACACTTCACGCCCACACCCACACCCACACTCACACACTCATCCACACCCACACACCCACCCAAACCCACACCCTACCATACATACTTCTTTATGATAACCTTGGACGAATGAGTGTCACTTCTGAATCTGATCTTGCACTAGGAATCGTCACCATCACTCACATCTTAGCCTCAGCTGAGAAAGTTGTCCTAGCAAGTGATTTTGCAGTGCTTACCGGAGAATTTATTGTGACATGTGCACATACATTTTACCAAGCTGCTCGGCACTTTTCTTCTTCTGAACATGATTAAAAGGCGCAGCCGATAGCAATTGCTGACGAAGGAGATTTGATACCTCTTGCTAGAGTCGAGTCACGTCTAGTACTATCGGGTCTAGTGTTACTCAAGCTGCAAGAAGGCCGAAAGATCGCATTTTTAGCAGTCGATTCATACCTAGCACTAGTTTGTACATCAATACTATCATATGACTTAGTAACAGTGTTTCTTCACATCGAATTCGTGTCCTAGTGTTTCACATTCATGGAAACCAGCTAATGTGTCATTCTACAAAAATCGATGCGACCAAAAAGCAGAGACAAGAACTTATGATGAGTTGCACTCTATGATATATTTACATTCACCTTCAAGTGGATCGAGTGGTGGACCAGTCGTGAATCAAGAGATGAAGAGTGTTGTTAGCATTGTTAGAGGAAGTGAAGCAAACTATACTGATTAAAAACTCATTGGTTTTGCTACACCTAGCGAATGTTCGATGGAAGCTTTCAAATTGCCTGGAATGTCTGATGGATTGGAATAGGTGAAGTTGATGAAATTATAGAGAAACAATTTTCTTTTCTCTTACAACTCAATGTGTTTTTAAAGCCGAAGAAGAGAAAAAAATAATAAAGCCAAGACCTGTATTCAATTCTACTCGACTAAAGAGTTATCAATCAAAGGTGAACCAAGGACTCGAATGTAATCTAGCACCGTTTCTTTTTATCCTAAAAAATTTTGTTTTTATGTTCACTGATCTGCCATAATTGAATAATTCTGTTTAACTACTACATTATACAAAACGTTGAATACATAAACAATATAATATTTTTCTGTTGTTGCTTAACGTAAGACTTCTTCAACACTCTTCTCTGCTCTTTATGTCCTTTGTTGAATATGAAGAATATAATTTGTTTACTTTTCTTTAATCGTGTTTTCGTGAAAACAATGCAAATTTTTTGTGGTAAAATTGTGTTTCAAATGTCTAATCAGTCAAAGAAGAGATTATCAAATAAAGTCCTTATTGACGTCCTTTTAATACGTGACAATAATAGTATGCACAAGCCGTAGTGGAAGATAGTCTGATCGATGAAAAAAGAGGTTATCATTTCAAGCGGAAAAAACGGTATCCGATTTAAAAATGCTATTTAATATGAGTTGCAGAATATCACAATGGTACAATGTCGAGACAGTTATCTATTTTATAAATCTCCTCATATATCAAATGAAAATACCAAACATCGAAAATTACTTCAATCAAATGGAAAAATGATTCGCATGACTAGAAGTAATGTTTAAAATAGACAAAACTTCTGGCTTTACTATATATATATATAGATCCATTGGTAACTGAAACATGAAACATAGAAGAGAAAACCTCTCACTATCAGAGATATATGCTTCGTTCCAGAAATAAAATTTGTTGCTTTAAAAAATCCTTAGTTCTAAAGATAGACGTCTCACACTGACGAGAATAAAATATGTGAATAGATATAAGCCAGTTCCAAGGAGAAAATGCTGATTTCATGCCTTTGGAATCCGCGAAATCACTTAGAATTTTATGGAGTTTATGCATATCTAACTTCATGTGTTTCAGAGTGATTCTAGATATGCACCAATATTGTTTTCGCCTGAGAAACAGGGTACTAGTCTGACTGAGCACCTAGCAGGACTGTATGCTATCCATTTTCATTTTATAAAGTTTCACCGAAAATGTTCAGGGTCGAAGAATCCAAATCTGACATTAGCTTCTCGAAGTTTTCAATCTAATTCTTTTAAGTAAAAATATTCCTTTCCTAGCAACAATAAATCGTTGTTTCCTTAAAAAAATATCTTTTTCATCGAGAAAATGATGTTAGTTTACTTGAAGAAGTTTCTTCATGAAAACAATATTTTATAGAAAAATGTTATTTTCATTGTTGGGTGTGGGTGTGATTAAAGAGATCCCACACCCTCACACCCACACCCACACCCCTCTTCTATAGCGATTTGGCATAAGCTGCCTTTTCATTTTTAACAAAACTTTTAATGACCCATAGTTAGAGTACTATTTTTATAATATGTTTAATTTATTTCAAGAGTTAGGCTTGAAAAGAACAAAATAGCTTGTATTTTTGATTGCTTTCGCATTATTTGACTCAATTTTTCTTTAGTTATTGATTTTTGCATAGGCTACCAAGAAATGTTCGTTACTCTGTTCCAAATAACAGCTCAAATATGAATACATTCGTTTAACGAATAACACACTTTAACAATCTTAACTTCTTTTGTTCTTTTCAAAAACAATTCGCGAGTGATATAGATAATAATCATGGTTTTTTCTTTTTATTATCTCCTTCTTTTGTCTATACATGTTTTCCCATCTTCTACTTTTTCAACAATTAAACTAATGAATTGTGAGAAAATGTATTTATTTCTTTCTGTCTTTTATGCTCCTTATGCATCTAATTGATGAACTTCTACTGTCACCATAAAGTTGAGCCAAAGCAAACAAAAGACTTGCAGGTTATTTTAGTCAAATGGTTTTTTCACAAAAATATTTAAATTTTTTGCTTATTAATTAAAAGCCTCTTTTAGATAAATCCTAGACGTTCTTTCTTTTACAATCTTCTAAATTAACTGATAGATGGCGCTCGTAGAGATAAATGATATATATATGCACATGTTTCGCAGAGATGTTGAGTTTGAGAAAAAAAAATTAAAATTATTATTGGAAAAAACAATATTTTTTCTTCGTACAGTCTATTAAGATTTAATATAGTTGATAGATCCGTACCCTCATTCGAACGACTCCATATAGATCAGTGATTAAATACTAGTGCTTTCGTTCAAATATTTTACTCTGATATATGCAACACAGTTATATATAAAGCGATCGAACATTATCGATTATATCAGCTTTTCATCTTTCTATTCATTGTTTTCAGCAAAGTGGAATTTTCATTGTTTAGTTTTTCTGTTTAGGTCAGTAGAAGTAAGGAAGAAGCGTATAGTATTAGTTAGATATTATTTTATGAATTTTGATTATATATAGAGTATTTTGTACATTTCTAACCTATTTCATTTTTTTATACTTTTCCAGTATCTAAAGTTGGACAGGGATTGAGTATATATATATATATTTAAGAAGCGACATCTATATTATTATCCAGAATCAATCAAATTCAACTATCATCATTAATAAGAAAATGCTTTATTCAGAATCATCTTAAAATAATTTCATCATATCTTTTTTTATTCTTTTAGATTACATTTTTTATCTTATCTTTATAAGAGCTGACATCCGAATTTAGTTTAGCATTTGACTATATTAAATACACCTGTTAAACTTATTTTAATATTTAATAATTGTTTTTCAATAATGCACCTTTTACTGATGATAGCAGTTTAGTGTAGAAGATTTGAATATTCACTTAGACGTAGTCTTCAATATATATCCTCCATGCTTGTTCAACTTGAAATATTCGAAAGATACAAAAAAGTCAATATGGACCAGAAACTTATCAAACATTTTTATATATGTTACTTTCACGCAACGTCTTGTAATCAGATGAGATTCTTGTAGTCAGAATAGTTTTTATCGTACAGTTTCACTCGTTACTAGGCGTTTTGATTTCTGAACTAAGTAAATTGTTAGAGAAAATTGTTCTATTCGTAGACTTAGTTTGCGTAAAAAAATAGTTCAGACGAGCTCTTAGCTATTACAAGTTTTTATTATCTTTTAACAATGTCTTATTATTTTAATTTTGTATTGTAAGAATCT